AAAACGAAATCAGTTTTTTAAACTGGGACAGAAAGCGCCGCTGATGAGAACTGAACACTTTGCCTGAAAGAATGTTCAACAAAGTGAGTTTCATTCAGGTGCCAGTTTCCACATATTTCCATCCTAAATCTCGCAACTACAGGAAAATAAGGTAATTTCCTCCATGATTACGTAGCAGCTGAGCTGAATTTATGACGGTTCCAGGAAAAACAGAATTTTTAGGTCACATTAACACATAGTGTCTACAGTGAACAGAACCCGGGATAACAATACACGAAGACTCAGAAAGTAACCTCATAAATGGAGTACATGCGCAACTAAACCAACAGTACAACTTTGCTGTTTTCATCAAAATGCGTTCGACTTTTCAGTGAAGGGTTGGTCAGCTGGGCGGTTGGCCGAGCCCGCCAGTTAAACTGCGAGCCCTTCTTCCTCGATAGAGGACGGATCTTGGGTGTTGTCCCGGGTCGACGACACATTTTGTCTCATAATCCTCAATAGATCGAAATATGATTTAGAATTCTGCGTAGTAAGAATGTCTTCTTCAATCGAACAAGAGGAAGTAGCCAAAAACTGGCCTACGCGTGTATTTAAACGTCCAGCTGACAAGGTATCACTATGGTAGATTTCAACAGAAAGAATGGTGTTCAATGATCTGTAGGGGCTGAATTCAAGTGTGCAGAGGCTGTGAAAAGCAGCGAAAATAAAGAGGTCGCTCACAGTAAACCAGACAAATCTGGTATAGGCTTACAATCTCAAAATATTTATCATATGGGTTTAGGTGGATTCCAGAATGTTCAGCAAGACGAAGCTTTCCGTCCTCACACAGATATGCATAGATCTAACACATTGATTGATTGATACGTATTTATCTAACACATCCCTAAAACGAAAAAACCCACGAAATGAGTCTTGATACAGGACAGAAAGCCTCAGGTGGCTTTTCGGGCCCAAAAGGCGTTGTATTAATAAAGGCATAGAAAAATTCCCATGTGGTGGTTTTGTGGTTATCAGATCCTTTGCAAGATAAAGCGAACCAAATAACCACCACTAGTTAAAGTGCCTGGTAGGTATGAGACTCAGCAAACGGAGAAAATTATTATTGTACGGCAGTGAGGAATCAAAGTTCAACAATCTCAAAAATGGTGAAAAAATCTTCACTATCAATGCAAAGTTAGCCAAAGGAAGCGCCGTCATCAATATTTAGTTATCAAGATGACTAGATCGAACCTCACGGGAAACGAATAAAAGGCTACCACCTGCACACCAAAGGGTGTCATGGAAAACCTCGTATTGGATGGCAAAAGTCCAGACGGCATTATGAAAAAATTGGTGAAATCTATGACCATGTAGAACACGCACGAATAAAACAGGTTCATGCTAATTGCCGGGAAAAAATGAAGCTCCGTGTCTGCAACAGATTTTACACAAGATGGCTTCTTCAGTTTCATGAAAGTAAACATCTCATAAGCATAAGGTACCGCAGCATTTCAAGGCCAATTACTAATTTTGTCTTCGGATGCAATATAAGGAAGATTATACACGCTCTTATAGTAGAGTCGTTTTCATTCCATGGATTGGCATCTAGTAAACCCTGCATTTTCTTGTGAATCATGTTACACAGACCTTTTCTTGCCATAGTTTTCGCCCATCCCTTTGATACAGCTCTAGCACGAAGCAGGTCACAAACACCTTAGAGCATTGATTGATAAGCTTTACGGCCGACACCACATCACCGTTAGTGCATCGTTCGCCAGCCAGATAATCACTCAATTATCCTGATCATTGAAGTGTTTGGAGAATCACGCATACTCAACCTAAACAGAACAACTCTTTCAACGGTGCAGTCAGTTTGTACTCAGCTAATAGAGTAAACAAGCATCTAGTACAAGGACGGCTAAAGCCTCGGGCAACCCGCGCAGTAGGCCATAGGCAGAACATCAGGGTTGCGGGCAAGCCCAGTGTTCAGGCCTGGAATTTACCACGACTTAAATTATCTACTAACAAATTTCTAGTAGTGAAAATAAGGAGGGGTAAATTCGACAATGTTCCTTTAGAGATTAGGCCCGGCAAAAATGAGGTTCTTACGTGCAACAAGGTCGCTATGAAACTTCCATCACTTTTGCTTTGGTTGTTTATTTAACTGGAATAGTGCTTTATGACAGAAACTCAATAGACAGACATCTTAAACGACGCTCACACGACAGTCAGAATGTAATGGCAACATTGGTCCCTATTTGTAATCGACTAGGTTTTAACCTCTTGAGTGTCGAGATTCAGCCAACGCAACACAATAATCAGGTCGGAACACCAAACGAAGGTTAACTTAATGAGAGTTCATGTAAAATCCGGATTAATTTTACTAGAGTCCCACCATCACTTAGTCGTCCCAGGTTTTTCACAGACCTTGGCAAGTAACAAGCTTTGCTACCAGACCTGACCAAAAGAATTATTAGACCAGATGCATCAGGGTCGTCAGGCGTGGTACAGAAAAAGGAAATGAAAGGCCTGTGCACGAAACTTGTCCGCAATTTTTTTCATAAAACACATACTTCTGAAGTACTCCAATGGACTTCTTTTGATGCCAACGAAAACAAGCTGGAATAGTTACAAATGCCGGGTGGATGCCTTTTTTCACCAAAGCACCGAATGCTTGCGTGTTGGACGGCAACTGCAGGACTGATCGCCAGATAAAACTTCTGAAAAGGTGAAACGATACAATCCAAGACACACATTGTACGGTGTGCAGACCAACGGTTACTGACTGACAGTACAGCTACTTTAAACTAATTAAAACCAAGGGCTGAATACGACTCTATTAGCCTTAAACGGCAACGTAAATGGTGGAACCCTATAGAGCCCTCCTGTAGAAACTGTATGTAACAGACGACTATGTTCAGATTTTTTCAGCGTGAAATTAATTCAGTATTAATATTGTCGATCTCTTTTTAACTTTGCCAAGGATTTGATGACGTTTACTTGGCAATCTTTTTCCACATATAAATAAGTATGAACGTGGAAGACCAATTGCACTAAAAGAACGAAGGGTAAAAACGATCCAGTTGCTCGTTCATCCATTGCACGAGTTTTGTCACAACCCACTTTCTAAACGACCTCAACATAATTGTGTCATTGCAATAGCTGCGTGAGATGCTACTAACAACCACTCGTCACCAGCGCAGTGCGAAAGCCCACTGGAATGCATACATTAGAAAGATATGGTGGTGTCGATCAGTAGATTCTTGTATTATGTTCGCCAAATTGGCGAGTTCACTGCAATACACAACATTCAATAAAATGCCAGTTCTCCCGTTTCAAGAATCCTAATAGCAAACGAGTCGGAAGACCGAACAAAAGTGTTAAGCATACCCAAGTGTTAAGCCATACCCAAGTTTACGTCAACCATCCAGGAGTAAGCCACTGTGTTCACCACACGGTGATAGATATAGTCCAAAAGTTGTGGTTAACAATTGTAAAATCAATGCGCGTAAAATTTGTGCTAAACAGAATAGAAGTTTCAACGAAAGACAAAAAGAGGACGATATGAATCCACTTCATTTGCTCATTGACTCGGAATGGAATTCTTCAGATCTTTGAGATCCAAAAGCCCAGGAAATTCCGAATAAAGAAGCTGGATGATTCATGGTGTACAAGGAAGCAAGTCTGATGTGACTTCCTTCAATAATGTTATGGGCTATGCATCAAGTTATCATAATCAACTTCACCTCACCTCGTTTGTAGTGATAAAAATAAGCAAAACATACATCGTTCGTCAAAAACTTCACACAAAACTGGCAAGTATAATAAGGTGGCCGGTTCAAAATATACGGTGACCAGATGCCTTATTAAGCCTCTGGATTGAAGAGCAGTTACAAACTCGTAATGCCAGACAACAAACAGAATAGAATTACGAACTGAAATGCACCCTCCATCTCCGCATTCGGTCGTCCCGACCCGATTACTCAAGATTTCCTCGCCACTACACCTAGGTGCACTTTCCACAGTGATTAATTGTAGTGTGCTACAAGGAATGGGAGTGGGAAGAATAATCTGATACCATGGGGGCATGTACCGATCCCACGCTACTACGTGAAACGGCGCAAAAGGAAAGCCTAATACCGCTGCAGATCCCAAAGTACACATAACCTCCAAACCCAAATGCTTAAACGATCCACCATGCGGCTTTTTGCCGTGAAAGCCCAGCCTACAGGTTTCAGAACCCAGCACTGACAGAATGTTTGCACAACAACTTGAATTAAGAAGAGTAATCGAAGAGTACAACGGACTCGTTTTGTTTTGTCCAGAGTACTAAAGTTCAGAACTGTACATCGATTAGTGTGACCAGTTTGTAGCAGACCCTCTTTAGAACAATGACATAAGCTGTCTACTGGTTTGGATAGTTGCTTTTATTGATGGGGAACGTTAGCCTGCAATAGTTCGTGTCAAACCGATGGAGACAGTATACGACATTATGCTTACGGGCAAAATGCGTACCAAGCAGGATTAAGTCACGATACATTTGGCCGGTCCGACAAATCCAAAACGACGAGTTCAAAACATATAGTTCTTAGCTAAACCACTATTCACATCTCAACTCGGTGGGAACGTTTGAAATACCGTGTACTTCGTTTCGCTGATCGACTTCCTGTGACAATGACTGTAGGAATGCGATGGAAAACACGTCCAAGTGTTGCACATCTGTACTAAAAAACATATTTTTGTATTTGCTATTCAGAAAACTATCATTTGGCCCCTGGCCGAACGTGGTCTTCCGGAGTGTGTATTTCATCGTAATTTCAATTTTTAATTTCATTCGGGTAACCAAACCCGGTTAGCATTATAATCGCCAATAAGTTCGGAGTAATCTACGTTTGAGAAATGCTGACTACAAAACGAAACAGTAACGGAGTTTTAATGGCATTTCGCACAGTCGTTGAAGCGCTGACGCCATCAGCGCTATTACGAAGTGAAAGCAAACGGTGAAGAAAAACAGTTCTCACCTATACTTAACGGGAAAGCGTCCAAATTCTCTCAGTAGTGATCTAAGGCGCCCGCGATTCAACAGCCCTTCGGCCTAAAGAGTGAAGCACAACGGGATTAAACGCGAAAATTTGTTTACCGGCTGGCAAAGATTACGAAATGGACAAAAACCGATATCGGGACAAAAATATACACCACATAGGAGCCGAGATATCAAAAATGAATACTGCATAAGGAGAGAACATTTATCGGGTGAAACCTACCGATATATATATATATATATATATATAGCTCTAGAGATCTCGATGGTAATGACTCTTCTTACAAGCAAGCCATCGACCTACTCTATCACGATTTTCCCTGCTAGAATACCCATTCCAAGCTGCTCAGATCAACCAAGTGATTCGGTTGTTACGACACATCAGGCGTATGCACCTCCCGGTTGTATCTAATTCAATTTCAAACCATAGCGTTATTTTCGTTCAGTTCTGGGATAAAAGGGAACACCGCGATAACGCCACACCACCAACAACAAAGCACTGGGTTTTGGGAGTAATGGGTTGAAGATGTCTTCATTACACACTGGACATTGTCGTGAAACCTGACCGTAACTACACAGGCAACTGAACTGCACGGCCCGCTCGCGTGGTTTGGTAATATCTGTTTGCATTGTGGACATTCATTATAAGCCCAAAAATTGTGGCAATCATATCTGGTGGATAAATGTCTAAGTTTAGTTCATTAAGTTGTTCCGAGAAAAATACGCCAGTGCTTTCATAGTCTTTCCTGAGGAATCCCTACCAGTTCCTGTGGCTTCCGAAATCTAGCTGAGGCGGCTCACTTGGATTTAAAACCCGTTGAGACGGAGTACCTATGAAAACGGCCAAAAATATTTTGTAAAAAACTGACTATCAGTGGTACGCTAGTTCGAGCCCATCATCATCATCATCACTGACAGCACGACATCAGTGTTCAACACCGATGCTTCACTGCCGTACAACCATGACTTATTTGAAAGCCTTATTGTAAAGAAAAGAATAAAGGTGGACGGGGAAGGGACTTAGTGCTAGCTTAACACAATCATTCCGAGGTGCCTACACCTCCAGACATTCACTCAGGCAATCTGGATAGAAACTGACAACAAGAACGCCACTGACATC